CTGGGTCGTTAATACTTGCAAAGTTTAATTGTAAATTTTTAAATGCAAGTATTACCGAGCGAATGGCTGCATTTGTATTATTTTTCCAATATCTTTTCAAACTAATTCCAACTAATCATTAACATATTTTCATTTTATATAGCTAATACTTCAAAAGAAGAAATTTAACAGAAATATATTGTACAATAATTTCTCGGAAAAATGAAAAGGAAATTTTTCTATCACACTCTTATTTTATCGCTGTTATTTCTATTTATTCTTATTTACTTTCATTAATTATCCTTTGAGTATTTCGGGTGGGACCCATGGGAGGGGCCTGTGGGGGAGGGCTTCTGTGCGGGTTGCTGTCTCAGCATCATATAGAACTGTTTCTCTTGTCTTATCTTTTTGGGGGCTCTCTATTCTTCTCTTTCTGGGGCTCTCTATTCTTCTCTTTCTGGGGCTCTCTATTCTTCTCTTTCTGGGGCTCTCTTTTCTATCTCATATTTTTATTTTTCAATTATGTTATCAAGATGTTATTTCCTTTTAATTGTATTTTCTTAATATCTATTTATGTTGTTTCTTTTTGTTTATATTCTTAATTATGTGTTCCATTATATTTTTTATTATGTTTTTAATTATGTTTCTAATTATGTTTCTAATTATGTTTTTAATATATTCTTATTAATTATGATTTATAGGTCTTAGGTAGCATCGTGCAGAGCTGCTTCTCTTTTCGTTTCTTTTTCTAGGTCTCTTATCTATTTATATATATTTATTTTCTATTTGTATTTTATATATGTATATATATATTATTTTCTGTTTAATATTTTCTTTTTTGTTCTTTTATTTTCTCTTTAGTTTTTTCTTTTTCAGGATAGATCATCGAGGGATAGGTTCATCTGCGACCAAATGGTACATCGCATGGCAGGATTCATCATCGATTTCTACGCGCGAATACGGGAAGGATAGGAAGAACACTGGCGCGCGTGTCGGCGGGCACAGGCGTTGGTGTTCTCGGGCGCGATTAAACTTCGTTTGATTGTTCGAATCGAAAACGCGAATTGTAGAGTAGAGTCATCGTTTTTCTAACACTCGCGTGGGTGTTCGGGCGCGATTAAAGGTCCTACCGTGGACTTCGTTTGATTTCTTCAATATTCCGAGGGGGGTACTTCGCGAATTTCGGCTTAATAGTAGAATCTACGTAATTATAACACACACGTGAGTGTCGCGACGCGATTAGTATTTCTAAGGAGTGCGCTTTGTTTGTTCGAAATTCGGAAAGCACGAATTCAGATGTGCTTAATAATTCGTTATGTCTGAAGCGGACGGTGCAAATGGTGGAGCTATCTGTAAGAGGTGTGTAGTAGCTAAAGCTACGCATACCCTGTTAGTTAAGAAGCCATTGCATTGAAGCGGAAAGGTATTGCGGATCGGTATCGCGGAACGCGGATTTTAGAGTAGAGTCACCGTTAGCCCGTGGGTCTCCAAATGCAGCAACCTCCACGTGGTGAGACCTGGGTCGTTAATCCTTGCAAAGTCTAATTGTAAATCTTATAACGCAAGTATTATCGAGCGAATGGCTGCATATTGTATTACTTTTCCATAATTTTTTTAATTTAATTCCAAGTAAACATTAACATATTTCCGTTTTATATAGCTAATAAAACTTGGAAAGAAAAAATACAACAGAATATATTGTACAATAATTTCTTACTGAAACGACAAGGAAATTTATCTATCACACTCTTATGTCAGCTGTCATTTCTATTTATTCTTATTTACTCTCACTAATTATATTTATATATCTCTTTTATATATCTCGGGTGGGACCCATGGGTGGGGCCCATGGGTGAGGGCCTCTGTGCGGGTTGTTGTCTCAGCATCATGTAGAGATGCTTCTATTCACTTATCTTTTTGCGGCTCTCTTTTTTAAATTATATTTTTCATGTTTTTATTTTCTATGTCATTAATATACTCTTATGAATTAAGATTTACAGTCTCGGGTGGGACCCATGGGATGGGCTATGGGGGTGTGCCTCTGTGCGGGTTGCTGTCTAAGCATCGTATAGAACTGCATCTCTTTTTTTCTCTTTTCTATTTCATATTATTCTTTTTTAATTATGTTTTTAATTATATGTTTAATTATGTGTTTAATTATGTGTTTAGTTATGTGTTTGTTTGTGTTTATTTGTGTTCATTTGTGTTTAATTATGTGTTTAATTGTTTTTAATCATGTTTTTAATTATGTTATTAATATATTCTTATTAATTATGATTTATAAATTTTAGGTAGGACACATGAGAAGGTGCGAGCTGCTGTCTCAGCATCGTATAGAAATGCATTTCTCTATTTCTCTTTTCTATCTCATATATTTCTTTTTTAATTATGTTTTCAGTTATGTTATTAATAAGTTATTTCTTTTCAGTTATGTTATTAATAAGTTATTTCTTTTTAGTTATGTTTTCTTAATATTTATTTATGTTGTTTTTTTTTAATTATATTTTTAAGTATGTTTTAATTATGTTATTAATATATTCTCATTAATTATGATTTATATATTTTAGGTAGGACACATGAGAAGGTGTTGCATGCTGTATCGTCATCGCATAGGACTGCATCTCTTTTTCTTTCTTTTCTATTTCATATTTCTCTTTTTTAATTATGTTTTCAGTTTGTTATTAATAAGTTATTTCTTTTCAGTTATGTTTTCTTAATATTTATTTATGTTGTTTCTTTTTAATTATGTTTTTAATTATGTTTTCAGTTATGTTATTAATATATTGTTATTAATTATGATTTATAAGTTTTAGGTAGGACCCATGAGATGATGCGGGCAGCTGTTTCAGCATCGTGCAGAGCTCTTTCATTCTCCAGCACTCTTATCTATTTATACGTATTTATTTTCTATTTTATATATTGTTTTGTCTCTCTCATATTCATCTGTTTTTTTCTTTTTCAGGGATGATCGAGTAATCATGCAGCGATATTCAATATGTCTTTTCTTTTCTTTTTCTTATTTTTTCCTTATCTTCTTTTTTTACAGGAGAGATCATCAAGGGATAGGTTCACCTCTGGTCGAATGCGTCATCGCCTGGCACGATTCATCATCGATTTTTACGCGCGAATACGGGAAGGATAGGAAGAACACTGACGCGCGTGTCGGCGGGCACAGGCGTGGGTGTTCTCGGGCGCGATTAAACTTCGTTTGATTGTTCGTATCGAAAACGCGAATTTAGAGTAGAGTCTACGTTTTTCTATCACTCACGTGAATGAACGCGGGCACGACTTAAAAGTCCTACCGGGGACTTCGTTTATATTTACTCGAATATTCGATTAGATTACCTCGCGAACGCGTTTTTTTAGAGTAGAGTCACCGTTTTCCGAACACTTGCGTGGGTGTCCGGGCGCGATTAAAAGTCCTATCATGGACTTCGTTTTAGTGTTGAAATTCGGGGTGCGCGAACGGTTTACCTTGTAGTGCTGTACATAGCTGGCTGATGTTATGACAATCCTCATGTTTGGTAGCGGGGCGGAAATCCCGACAAATATCATGGAAAGTCTAAATACCGGTTAGCATATGTCACTTTGGATTTCAACTTAGAGTCACCGTTATTCTAACACTCACGTGAGTGTTCGCGTGCGTGATTAAAAGTCCTACCGGGGACTTCGTTTTGTTTGCTCGAATATTCGATTAGTTTATTTAGAGTAGAGTCACCGTTTTTCGAACACTTGCGTGGGTGTCCGGGCGCGATTAAAAGTCCTATCATGGACTTCGTTTTAGTGTTGAAATTCGGAGTGCGTTTCGGATTTCAACTTAGAGTCACCGTTATTCTAACACTCACGTGAGAGTTCGCTTGCGCGATTGAAAGTCCTACCGGGGACTTCGTTTTATTTCTTCGACATATCGATTAGATTACTTCGCGAATTTGGATAGAACAGTAGAATCTACGTAATAATAACAAACGTGAGTGTCGCGAACGCGATTAATGCGCTTTGATTGTTCGAAATTCGGATGCACGAATTCAGATGTGCTTAATAATCCGTTATGCCTGAGGCGGAGGGTGTCGAACGGTTAAGCTTTCTGTAAGTGGAGTCCCTGTAGCTAAGGCTAGATACTTCCTGTTAGCTTTGTCCCATGCCCAAGATATCCGAAGCGGAAGGCATAAGGGATCGGTATCGCGGAACGCGGATTTTAAAGTAAAGTAGAGTCACCGTTAGCCCGTGGGTCTCCACATGCAGCAACCTCCACGTGGTGAGACCTGGGTCGTTAATACTTGCAAAGTCTAATTGTAAATCTTATAACGCAAGTATTATCGAGCGAATGGCTGCATATTTCAATATATTTTCAAAATCCCTTGAATCTAAATTTTTATTAAACATTGAAGTATTAACACTGTATATTGCTAATAATATTTCCACAAATAAATAGATTGATTATACGATATTGAATATGGACAAATATTATGTATATTTGTAGTTGTATATTATAGTTGTATATATTATAGTTGTAAATATTATAGTTGTATATTAAGTATAACGACTAAAGTCAAAAATAATAATTAGTAAATATATACTTATATATTGTATACTATTTTTATAAAAATAAAAATAAAAATTAATTCTCTTTTAAACTGTCTATTAATTAAAATTCCTTTTCTTCTACTCCACTATTTTTTTTTTCGTAGTTTCTTCTATAGGAATAGTTTTTTTATATTATATTATTACTATTAATACAGTAATAATATATAAAATAAACGTAGGAGAGAGATATAACCTATGCAAGTTTATAAAATATTAAGATAGATGCATGTTGATGACAATGTTTCTCGTTAGCGCTTGTAGTTCATATTTTGTCCATAACTGTCGCTGAAATCACAAAATATGATGAACAACCTTACAACTCTAATTCTCTCTATTATACTTGTAGTTCATGTTTTGTCCGTATTTGTCGCTTCAGTCACATATGCTTCGAGTGAAAGGTTATGAACAGGCTTAATGTTCCTTTAGTTACCTAACCTTACTTCCGGCAAAAATACAATGAAAGGAACCATAACTATTTATAACTTAGTCAATGTCAAATCAGAACTAAATTTTCTATAGATTCTTTTAGAAGGTTTGAACGACACGTAGAATCACTGTGCACAATTTTGTTGGCTGTTCGATGGTATAAATGTGTCAATAAATGAATGCTTTATATTTTCCATATGTAAAACATATTTTCCAAGGTAAATAGATAGGTTAACAATGGATTTTGGTACATTATTAAGTGTTGCACAAAAGAACGAAATTAATAAACAAGTAAGTAGAATCTTCTTCTACGTTCTAATGAATTTAGGAAAAGTTTTTTTAATAGCTCGTTTATAATTGTATTCTTGTAGTCCGTTGCTTGTTATCAAACTAAATTTACACCTCCGAAGAAGCAAAATAAACAATCAAAGACATTGTCGGATAATATAAAAAAATTTTTAGCCAGAAAGGAGGAAGAAGAAAAAAGAAAAGTTTTAGAGGAAAAAAAAAAGAGAGATGTATGTCTATATCTGATGCAAGGAAATCTTTGCAGATTCGATTTTATTATAAAGAAAATATTATTTATATAATTGAAATTCTCTGTTTAAGAATTTGCTTGCATTACGGGACCATAAAGCTCAAAGTCGTATAAATAAACATTTGAAAGTATGTAAGGCTGCAAATAAATCTGTAATAGCAGATGCAATAGATAATGAAAATACAGCTGTTACTATAGCAGGTATGTATATTTTATATTATTTTTTTTTTTTCTTTTTTTTAATCATTATTTCTAAAAACCAGGATTTGAAGAACCATTTTGCATAAATACAAATTTAATAAATAATAATAAAGTTCCATATAAAATAGAAACGTGAACGATTCAAGTAATAAATAATTCGTAAATTTGATAATACCATATTATTTTGATATGGTATTATAAGTATCTATCCTCTTCTATAATGTTAAGAAAATTTTTAATTTACTAAACGTAACGGGCAATATTTTTGCCCGCAGGTTATATTAATAGAAGCGATATGATACCTTGTTTTCTCATCCAAAATGGACGTGGAACAGTTTCACGGATTTATACAACAGAAGATGCAAATGGAATGATTAAGGTTAGCCAACGAATTATAAATCAAAGATTTGCAAATATTAAAATTAAATATATAAGCGATGAAACATAGAAAGCATTTGTATATATTTCTCTACTGGTAGATGTAGAAAGTATAGAAAATAAATGTTGCATTGTCATGTGTATTTTATCAGTTGAGGTAACTCAACTTAGTGTCTACGTTATTCATTTTGCACATTTTTATCAATCAATTTTTATACTTCTTTTTGTACTATGTGTACTATTAGTATTTGGAACTTTATTGTTGTTACAAATCATAAGCTGTTTTTCTCAATTTTTATTCATTTAAGATTTATATTTTATGATAATATAATTACATAATTTTAAATCATAGGTCCTTCTCAACCAGATGAGGATGATTACGGATATGTTTCCCAGGAAGCATCTGCGTTTTATAATCAGTTAATGAATAAATATAGTAATTTGCCTCCTGAGAAGCCTCTTTTCAGTAACACTGGAAAAAGGACAGTAAAGGATATTGCATTGACAAAGGTAAAATATTTACTTTTATATTTCCTTTCGTATAACTTTAATTTATAATATATGTATAATATCATAGATAATATTATTGAAAATTTCCATTGTAGGATAGGGTAAAGCAAGCTCTAAAACAACAGGAAATTGAAGATTCTCTTGGTCATAGACGAAAACGACGATCATCTACAGTGAATAGAAAAGAGTCAGAGTGTGAAGATCAGAATGAAAAAGTACCCGAGAAAAAAACGAAGGAACAAGAAAAGCATGGAAAAGAAAAGGCTAAAAAGAAACCACCACCACCTCCAATGGATTTTGGAGAACTATTGAAACTTGCAGAGAAGAAACAACACGAGCCAGTAGTTATTGATGCCAAACCAAAGGTTGAAGAACCAGAGAGATTGATGACTAAGAAACAAATGAAAGAATATATGAAAGAAAAAGAATGGAGAGAAAGAAAAGAGCAATTGGCCAGAGGAATTGATGTAACGAAAAAAAATAATGTTACATCTGAAATAAATAAGTCAAATAAATCACATGCCCCAAAAAGTACAAAAATAACGATTGATAAAGCTTCTCTAGATTCCTCTGTACAGAATAAAAATTTGTCTTCTACAATACAAGATAAAAAGGCATCGACAAAATCTAATAACATTTTAAGTGAAAAAAGTAATGTTATAACTAAATCTAATAATATAGGGAAAAATTCAACGAAGGATAAATTATTAGAAGAACGTAAAAAATTAGAGGTAGAAAAACGTAAATTAGAAGAAATGCGTAAAGCTATAGAAAAAGAAAAATTGTTATTGGCACAAAGTAAATTGAAACAAGAAGAATCAAAATCGTTGATTAAACATCCAAATAAAGTCGTATCTCAAACAAAAAGTACAGACAAACAAGTCTTATCTAAAGATATTAAGACAAAACAAGCACCTACATCTGAAAAATTGCAATCGTCTATGTTAAATGAAAAGCCAAAGCAGTTTCCTCCGCTTAATATGAAATCACTTAAAAATAAAATTGCATCTGGAAAGATTCTTAAAAAGCCAGGAAATTCTAACAAACGTAAGCTGATAAATATTCTTCTATGATTATCAAACTTATGAAAAATATCATAAAGTTTTATATAAACATTTTTTTTTTTTTTTCTTTTTTTTATAGGTCGTATATATGATGATGAAGAATATGATTCCGAATTGGATGATTTTATCGATGATGGTCCAGAAGAAGAAGGTGAAGATTATAGTAAATATATTAGTGAAATATTTGGTTACGACAAAAGCAAATATAGAAATGTGGATGATGATGATGATGATTTAGCAATGGAAAGTAACTTCGCACAACAACTTAAAGAAGAATATGTATCTACAAAAATAGGTAATTATAAAAATTTAATAATAATAATAATAATTTATATATATGCTACACAATACTTAATTTTAAATTATTATATGATTTTCACATAATAATTTTTCGGTATAGGCATTATGGAAGATTTAGAAGATATACGTATGGAAGCCTTAGAAAAGAAACGGAAAGCTCTCTTAAAGAAAAAAGCAAGAAAGTAGTAAGCTGTATATTTTTAACAATGTTGGATAAGTACAAACTTATTTAGATAAACGTTTGTGGGGTTTTTTTTTTCTTTTTTTTTTTTTTTTTTTTTTTTTTTTATTATTATTAAATGAAAAAATTATTTCACTGTTATACTTTTACTATTATGTTTTTATCAACTTCACATTTTTTTTTTTTTTTCTTTTTTTTTTTTTCTTTTTTTTTTTGAGAGAGAGATTATTTTATTCATTCGAATAATTATTATTTTAAAGAGAACTTATTAAATATTATTAAATATCATTTAATGCTTTATGATAATTTTTTTCAGTAATAAAATTCGAGTCATAATTTATAAATATATATTACAACTTTTGATAAAGACAAAATATTAAATTATTTTAATTTCACATAAAATATACTAGTAAACTTTTTCTAGTATATGTATGTATAATTTTATAAGATTTATTAATTTTTTAAACATTAAATATTTATTTATTGCATTTATTCATATTATGTATAATATTTGGTCGAGTATAAATGCAAGACTGTATTTTTTTTCTTTTCTCAACAGTTGTATATAAATCCTAGTTAATAAGTAATAAAATGATGATATAGCTTATCTTTTATTCGGAATATAATATTGCTTGAAATACTGTGATCTGTATTCATAATGTGTTATCAGTGATGTCGGTTTCTTGTAAAAAAAAAAAAAAAAAAAATTCATAGATTCTTCAAAAAAAATTACTGTAGCACCGATAAAAGGATCTGAATACAGAAATCGAATGTATGAAATTGTATATGTGATATAAATATCATTTATTAAGAACTATCCAATTATTCTTTTTTCTTTTATTATTATTACTATTATTATTATTATTATTATTATTATTATTATTATTATTATTATTATTATTATTATTATTATTATTATTATTATTATTATTATTATTATTATTATTATTGAAATAGAATTCGATTTTTATACAAAATATACTATACATTGTAAGATTGAATAATTTATAAAAACTGCCAATATTTATATATCTCAAACATTTAAATATTTATTCATGTAAGATTACATATATATATATTATTACTTATAATATATATATGTATATATATATATATTGTAAGTATAGCGAATGCGATGCATGGGGATAATATTCCTAAACAATTAACAAGACAATTGAAAAAATATTTCATGTTAAAAAGGATATTTAATTTGCTAATACATAAAATGTTATCTTCCTAATTTAATATCAAAATAAAACATGTTCTCTTTGTAATAATAATCGTTAATCGTTTTAATAAAAGTATTTATTAAAATAATATATATATATATATATGTGTGTGTATATATATATATATATATATATGTATATCTACGATTTTCCAATTGTACTACATACGTAAAGTGTAACATAGGTCAGTCACGTGATTGCGATAGTTGATTTCGTATTAAAAAAAAAAAAAATTTATCCAATAGAAAGATTGATATGACGGAAAAAATGTATTCGTCCGTTGATAGTATACACGCTATTGGAAAACAGCATCGTTGATATTTCAATGTAAATAAAATAAAAGTTTGATGTTCCGCGGGTTTTGAATAAACCGGAACCAACGTCACGCACGTAATCCATATCGAAGTATAAGAGTTTATGGTCGCATGCAGCTCTCTCTTCCGGCAACCAGAGAAAGGGGATTTTGCTACTGCTGAATCTGTGGAAATATTTATACATAAAATACTCCTCCGTCATGGCCGTCGGTGACTTGAAGACTGACAAGGGCGTTAAAGATTTAAATGCTTATCTTGCCGATCGTAGTTACATCGATGGGTGAGTATTCTTTCGTAGGAACTTTAACCCCCCGTGTTCCGGTACACGTGCTTCTCTTGTCGGCATTTTAGAGACACCTATCCTTCTTTGCTTCCTTTCTGTTTCATAGTACAACCTTCGACGAATGCATCGATACGATCGCTCTTTAAAATAAGTTTATCGATGATCAAACGTCATCGTCAAAAATTATTTTCTCATCTTTGTCAAAATGACAAAAGAAATTTTTTTATTAAATTATTAAGATTATGACAGAGATTGATAAAAATTTTTTACAATACAAACATTATTCTCTTTATTCCAGATGTACATGTATATATATATATATATATCCGTCACATATGTGCCGGTATATATAAATTTAGGGCTATGAATTTTTATAAATATATATACCTATTTTGTACGAGTTAATCGTAGAACGATCATTTATGACTATTTTTAGATTTATTATGTTCCTTCAACTAGAAACGTATCAAAAAAGAGAGAAAAAAGAAATAAGAAAAAAAAAGAATCTACTGTTAATAACGAATAAACAATTGCCAAGGATGATTATGGAATTGATTTATTTCATTTAAATATTAGGTGGCAACCGTCTCAAGCCGATGTTGCTGTCTTTGAAGCTTTGGGAAAAGAACCCAATTCTTCTAACCCTCATGTACTAAGATGGTACACTCACATAAAGTCGTACGATCTAAACACACTTCCAGGAGAGAAAAAGGCTCCTGCTATATTAGCAAATAGTAGTCATTCTTCACAAGCTACAACCCCAGCAGCAGATGCCGCAGAAGATGGCGATGATGTTGATTTGTTTGCATCCGACGAAGAAGAAAGTGCAGAAGCAGCAAAGATCAGGGAAGAAAGATTAAAGGCTTATGCCGAAAAAAAATCCAAGAAACCAGCAATTATTCCTAAGTCTAGTATTGTACTTGAAGTTAAACCCTGGGGAGATGAAACAGACATGAAAAAAATGGAAGAAGCAGTTAGATCGATTAAGATGGATGGTCTTGTTTGGGGTGCTTGTAAGTTTTCATTTCTTTCCTTTTTCTTCTCTAAAATAATATCTATCTATATATGTTTAATACATAGATGATTTGATTTTAGCTAAACTCGTAGCAGTGGGATATGGCATACAAAAATTACAAATAATATGCGTAATAGAGGATGATAAAGTTTCTGTAGATTTCCTGGTGGAACAAATTCAGGAATTTGAGGATTTAGTACAATCTGTCGACATTGCATCTTTCAATAAAATTTAAAAGCTTCTCAGTAATTTTAATAATGAGTTAATAAATATTGTTTGTATATATGTGCATATATTTGTTATTTAATATACCCAATTGACTGAAATCTATCTAACACATATATATATATATATATATCATCAAGTAAAATATATAACGATGCACATAACATCACAGCATTGAATAATTAATATATCATAATATTATATAATATAACAATTAACTTAAAGCTACAACTTCTAGTCACATTTATTACTGAACTTTGGTTAGAATTAGGTACAAATTCTTTAGTATATTCAAGCCATTAAAATATTAATATATATGATCACGTTTTATAAAAAAATCTATAATATTTGTAAAAATTTATAGATACGTATTTCTTTGAAAAAACTGTTTATAAAATCCTGCTTATTTAATAATGATAAACAATGAATTACAATACATCTTGTACTTTAAACTACAATACAAAACAAAATCATCAAAAACATTTTTACCTTTATAAAAACTTCATATTTATGAGATAATAATTATAAAACTGTAATTCGTTTTTTCCTTAGATATGCAGTATTTTTTTGGGATTTTTTTTTTTTTTTTTTATTTGTCATAGTTCATATTGTCATAATAATTTTACTTAGATCTATATATCACGTGGTATTAGTTCATTAAATTCAGGTTGAAGAAACTCTGCTACAATAGCAGAGACCATTTCATTAAGTGTGCATTTCAATTTGTTTATATCTCTAAAAAAAAAAAAAAGAAAAGAAAAAAATGACATTACTTTTTTACAACTATTAGTGGATACTTACAAGATTATTATATATTAAAATAAATATATGTGTATATTTAAATAATGCAATGTATATAGTTACTTAAATTGTTAACTAATACTCACTGTTCTTTGGGAGATGCACATAATTCGCAGTAATATTTAATTTTAGGCTCTGTACCGCTAGTTCTTAAGGTAGTAACTAAACCATTATCAAATGTAAACGTAATCATTTGACTGGATTTGGAAATAGGTAAAATAGCTTTATTCCCTGGTTTAGTATTATCATAACCTGTTGTTAAATCACGAATACCAATTATAGAATATTTTCCATCAAGAATGCTCGTTGGATACTGAAAATATAAAACACACAAATATATATTAAATTTAATAAATAACAGAAACATTTTTTTTTTTTTCTTTTTTAATATAAATATTAGAATATATTTTACTCACTTATAATAGAGTCTAATCTATAGTTTCATTAAAAAATGGTGTAAGGCAATAAAGAGATTGTATAACAGGTATCGCAAGCACAGCGAAAAGAAAAAAGGGCAGAAGTGTCACAAATACGAGACAAATTTTCACTGATTTGTCTGTCCACATATTTGACATTTTTGCTATACAGTTTATTTATTTCAAAATAAAATGGTGCTTTTTTTATACGTTAATTAAGTTATATGAAAAAGTATATAAAAACACAATAATTCATTATATAATAAATAAAGCTGATTTCATTCAATTTTAATCTGGTAACAATGTAAAATTATATATAAAAAATATATTTTATAAAATTATTAATTTTCTTGAAAAGAAACAAAAAAATCTACTATTTGTTTTTATATAATTACTTTTGCGCGATTTTATCTACATAAAATTATATTATAATGTACACTATCAAATCCTCCTAAACTTTTTCTATTATTTTTTATATATATGTATATATATATATACTCGCTATAATTTGAAAGATCTATAAAAGAAACTTCTATTTATCGTAATATTTTAATAATGACACCTTTATAACATATTAGAATTAATATTATTTCACTGCATTTAACATTCCGAGAACAAAAAAAAATTAATAGAACTATGATTACTAACACATGTGTATAATTACACTAATCTAAGTGTTGTAAAATAAAAATATGAGTACTATTGGCCATCTTTTAGAATCTCATCTATTGCTATGCATGCAATTAATTGACCTTGCAGCCATATAATGTTAAATATATTCTACTACAAACTTTCCTGTATGTATTGTGTTGCGAATGACTAAGCAAATAAGAAAATAACCGTATAAGATACAATATAACTCTAAATAAAAATAATAATAAATGGGAAGGAATGAATAAGAAAATAATAGAAAATAATAAGAAATAATAAGAAATAGATTTCTTTTTTTTTGGTTATTAGTATATTATCAAAATATACTTACCGTATTTTGATTTCCATCGTAGTTTCTCAAACGTTCAAATATTGCTTTAATTGTGTTTGATTTGTGACAAATCCAATAAGATATTAGTGAGATATGCCATCCATACCTAAAATAAATGTATTTAACTTTCTTTTTTTTTTTTTTTTTATTATTTTACATTCTGAACTAATCTATGATAAAAAAGAATGTCATACGTGTTGTATATTTCTTCCAATTTATCATAAAGAGAAAGCCCAATAGTTTCTAAATAAGTTGCCATTTGAACCACACATATACCAGCATTAATACCATCTTTATCCAGTACAAGAGAACCACACATAAAACCAATAGCTTCTTCAAATGCAAATAAAACATCTTTACCATCTTTTATCAATTCTACGGTTCTGTTGCCCATCCATTTAAATCCTGTTAAAGTTTCCTATAAATATTGAATTATTAAATTATTATAATATGATTTTTAAAATTAAAATTTACAAATGAATCATTTTGCATTATCTAATATTTATAAGATACAAACCTCAAAATTGAAACCTTCCTTTTTAGCCATTGAAGCTAAAATTTTACTAGAAACTGTAGATGAAAGCATATAAACGTTACTAATATCAGCATCTGGATATTGTACTTTGTATATATGTAACATCCACCAAGCCAATAATGCACCCAATTCATTCCCATTAAATATATACCATTCTCCGCTGTAATAAAAAAGAAAATATTTTTCCATTGTTAAAGAACTAAACGATCTTTATATACATTTAAAAATATTTCTTAACGTTTTAGTTTTTGTTGCACAAGCAAGACGATCGGCATCTGGATCATTAGCAAGAATAATAGATGATGAATGTTGATTCGCAGTTTTGATACTTAAATCAAGAGCACTCTTTCCTTCTTCTGGATTTGGAAATTTAACTGTTGGAAATTCTGGATCTGGTAATTTTTGTTCTTCAACGGCTATAAATGGCTGCAATATAATAAGGATAACTGAGATTATTTCTTTTAATCTTTCTTGTAGTAGTAATATTTTATAAATATTCTTTGTCAAAAAAAAATTTAATAAATACCTTAACATTTACAGCATTAAATGCTGCAGTCATGTAATCATTTCCAACACCATGCATAGCAGTATAAGTAAATTTTAAAATAGTATTTTTATTTACTTCAGGATATAGAACATTTTCTTTAATACTTTCAAAATAAGATAGCATGATATCATTTAGAGGATCTTTATATAAAGGAGACTCATATACTTTGGATATATGCCACGATGATTCAGATGGTTTCAAATTTTCCAATATATTTTTTTGAATTTCTTTATCACGAGGCGATACAATTTGTGCACCGTTTTCCCAATATACTTTATAACCATTATCATATTTTGGATTATGAGATGCAGTTATCATAATTCCAGCTGCACATTTATATTGTAATACACCATAAGGTATAAACGGCGTTGGACAAACTTTAGAAAATAAATAAACTTTAATATTATTTGCTATAAAAATAGCTGCTGTCAATTCTGCAAATCTAAAATAATATATATTATCGTTATATAATAGATAATATATAATACTTAAAATTTTTAAATACATATATATTACATTATTTATAAACCTTTTACTGTTATGACGACCATCATATCCTATTATAACACCTTGTTGTAATAAATTAGGCATAGTACTAAGTAAATATTTTGTCAGGCCTTGACCTGTTTGTACAATTACTAAATCGTTCATTTGACTATATCCTGGACCCATTCGACCTCGAAGACCGGCAGTACCAAATTCTAATCTTTTAAGAAAAAGATTAGATAATAGTTGGACATCATCATTATTAATAATATTCTCAATTTCTTTCTCAGCTATTGAATCCTGAATAAAATAAAAACATATAATTAATAAGTGCAAAGAACAAAAATTATAAAAGTATTTATTTTAATAGTTTATACCTGATTCCATTGTAACCATTCATTGATCTTTTCATCCAATATAGTATTGCCAGTATTTATTGAATGTTTAGAGGACATAATTAATATTTATTTTATTGATTTCAGAATTTTCTTATAGGCCTTTTATAATGACGATATATTAGGTAAGAACAAGATATAAAAAAAAAAAATATATTATTTGGTATTAAGTTGATTTTTTTATTTATTTCAAATAAAAATTTGTTAATTAATTAAATAATAATAATAATGTTTATACTATCACCAAAGATCAATCTATAATTCGCTATATATATTTATACGACGATTATACTTATACCGTTAAATCGTTATTTAGTACTGATTTTAATTTCATGTAATCTTACAACGTTTGATAAATTGTGTCGTAATATTATCTCTTAAGTAATAATTTTATCAAGACATTTAATCTTGCCCGCTAAACTTCAAATCGCTCGTAAATATTTTTCAAGTTTTACGATCGCGCTCACGTTAACCTCTAAAAACGCGATGTAGCGTATTTATATTAACTACACTAACCAAATGTAATCTTTATACAAATAATATTGTTAAAATATAAGCTACATGTATATATATAGTTTTAAATGTTTATTTTGATAATCATAAAATATTTTAATTGATAAAAGATATTTTTCGTGCCTTTCAAGAAGTAACAATATATATATGTATATGTATATATATATTTGTATATCTAAACATGATTAACATAACAGGTGGAAACTTGTTATTTTAGTAAATTAATGAAAGAGTTTAGAAGCAGCTTCGAAAATATTTATTTTACATAACACTTTGATAATAAATATAATGTACTGTGTATGTTAATTAAAATCTAATAAATTATAAATTAATATAACAAAGAATGTATCCAATCTTCATCATTATTTGATATTTCATAATTTTTATTTACTTCTATAGACGTATCATCACTTTTTAGTAAATCATTTAATAAATTTTCTACGTTTATTTCAGGTTCCACCGTAGGATTTTCCAATGATTCATTTGGCACAACTTTTGCCTTTGCACTGTCATTAACATCCAAAGAAGGACAAGGTTTAATAGTTTCAGGTGAATTTTGTTTTTGAATTTGAATATTAGAATATAGATTAGATCTACTAGATTTAATATTAGAAATATCTTCATTTGAATTCGATAAACATTTACTGTCTGAACTTTGATCGTTATTGTCAACAGTTGGCTGTGATTTTCTTTTTATGGCATGAAAATCAAATTTTTTATATTGTTTACCTACAGATATACTTTTTAATTGTTTATTGGTTGTTTTATGAATTGTATTCAATGTAGTTATAGAAGAATTTAAGTCATTTGACTGAGAGGTGTTACCACATTCTGTTGTAATAAAATTTGCATTAATTTTAGGTACTGTGATAGGCATAAGTGGAGATATAGGTGCTTCATAAGAGACAGTTATAGGTAAACCATCTATTTCCACTTTTGTTACCTTTAAATTAGAAGGTGTAGTACTTTCTTCAGTAAATTTATTTATTTGCAATTTTTGATCTAATGTAGAATTAGGAGATTCTACATCATTATGACTTTTGTTAATATTGCTAATATTTGACGTGTCATTGTTATTTTCTATTTGTTTACTTACACTATTATCTAAGTCATTTTTCATTTTATTAGCACTGCAACTATATTTTGAATTTATAATATTTTCTTTTAAATTAGATTCTTCTGTTCTTAAAAGTATTTTCTTAGATACATTTTCTATGCTGATTATATTATTGGTATTTTCATAATAAGAATTATTTTTATCATTTTTATAAAAAGGCTGGTCATTAGTTTGATCCTGTTCGCAGTCTTCTACGTGTATGTCAACATTTTGAGATTTATTGTCAATATTTTCTGACTCATTATTTTTTAAGCAGTATCCATCATGATCTGAAATAGAAGTAAATTTTCTTGGTTCATATTTCATTAATACAGATGTTATTATTTATAATATTTATAATAGTATTATCGTTAGAGCACTATGTACCTGTTAAAAATTCTTTTAAAACAGGATCAGTAGAAGGAGTTTCTGGGGGTGTATATAATGTTAATTCTGTAGATACTGGTACATAATTATTCATTGTTTTCAAATTTAAATCATCCCAATAACATGACCAAGTATTTCCAACTTTCCTTTGGATGAATATAAAGTCTGCATGACCAAATGGCCATTCACACTAAAAATATAATAAAATTTTTAAATATTATAAAATCCTTTATATATATATATATATATATATATATATATATATATATACGTATACAATAAAATATTAAATGAGATTAAATATGTTTTCACATAGCAAAGAAACAATATACTTCTTCTCCTTCACATGCCCATATAGCCTCATGAAAATTAATTTGTAAAGCTTTTATTCTTCTTCTGAATCCTCTTTTATCGCATAATGGACAAAATTCTTGCATTATATAATTTAATTTTATAAATTACAATAAATAAATCTGATAAAGACACCTCTTTCAAAAAAGTCTTATTATGAGTAGAATATTGATACTAGGTTAGAAAATAGAATTGTCATAGTATAATGGAAGATAAAATGAATGTATACGAAGAGGGAGCAAGTGTGCAAGCATATTTATAACAGTTAACAGGAAAAAAGAAACATTAAAATTTGTAATTATTTTATTTTTGCAATAAGTATTTCGTGAAAAAAACAAAATGTATGTATATGTACATACATATATATTAATATATGTGTATGTATTTATATGTTATTATTTGTAAAATATTGATAATTTTATTCATTTGAACTTGTGAAAATTTTAATAGGTTATCGAACTATTTTGTTAATTTGAATTAATCCAATTTACTTATGATACTTGAGCAATTATAATTTGAAAACTCGTAAGAAAAATATATTAAGAATATTAAAAATATATGCGGTGATATAAAAAAAATCATGATTACTTTTCAAACTATATCTTCGGAGACATATAAAAAGGATCATAATAAGTTCCAAATCTATTATGATTTTTATGATGCACCTTTTGGAAGATGTATTATAGGTTTAACTGATACCGATAAAGCTATATTGCATTTTGCATTTGTTGTTAAGGATGACACTGATGCAGTGAAAGATTTAGAAAATGAATGGCCTATGTCAAAAATAATAAAAGATTCTATTCAAATGATAAGTAATATTATGAAAGATATTTTTACTTTGAGCAATGAAAAAGAAGAGAAATCAATATTGGTACTTTTAAAGGGAACAGAGTTTCAAATAGAAGTATGGAAAGCTCTAATGTCTATACCAAAAGGTAAAACAACAACTTACGAACAGATCGCTCAGTTAATAAACAAACCAAAAGCTGTAAGAGCGGTTGCAACTGCTATAGGAAAAAATCGAATAGCATATTTAATACCATGTCATCGTGTTATGGGAAAAAATGGTAGCAGTAAATATAGTTGCGGAGTGAAATACAAAGAAAGTATTTTGTCCTATGAAAGTAACACATATTAATTTTTATCAATTATATAATTTACTTAATAAGACTAAATTATTTATTATTTATTATCCTTCATTTTCAATAAATTTTACAATAAATTTTCATTAAAATACAAATTTTTATTATCAGGTAATTTAGCCGTGTAATGAAAATTTCTCTTTCTTTTTTTCTTTTTTCTTTTTTCTTTTTTATTGTATTAGTAAAAAAAAATCTTATTGCTTTGTACACTATGTGGTTATTAAAACAAAAAGTTTACATGTATATTTTCCCTTATATTATATTATTGTAGGCTAATAAATAAAATAATTTTTACACACATTATATACATTTATGTTTTAACTTAAAAAAAAATAAAATTACATTTAAATATTCTTATAATAATTTGAAACAAACACAAAGTTTATATTTTATTTATTTTCGTGAATAATGTAATTTATATTTTGCACCGAATATTAATATTTAAAAATAGAGCATTAAGCAAATTGAATTTAAAGACTGCACTGTTATATATTTTTACATAATTTAATAATTTCATAAATGAACATTGGATATTTTGAAAGATTCATTATCCCATAAATCTCCTATAATTTATTCGTATATTGTTCAGATAGTTTTGAAAAATGTTATGACCATAAGTTTGTTCTTAAAAAAATACTCTTGAAATATGTAAAAGTCAAAGGTATATATCAGTCTTATCGTTGCTCATGTTTCTATATTATGTCTGCATGAGAATATTTTTGTATATAATTATGAAATTTTGAATGATTTATCATTTTATTTTTTCTTTTTTCTTTTTTTTTTTCTTTTTTCTTTTTTAAATAGAACGTACGACTGTAAAATATATAAAATAATCTGAAAAAATTTTTAAATATGAAACATAAAGAAATCATGGCTTACATTATATAAATAATTATGTTACATACTATGTTCAATTACATAAAATGTTTGCATCGTATATAATGCATTGGTTTATATCAGGAATCAAAAAATAAAAAGATTACAAGATCTTTGGGTACTTTCGATAATTTACAATATCTAGTAAATGAAAATGATTTGTATTTTACAAGGTGGTTTTGATCTAAAGAAAATGTGAATTTTGTCATTATATTACAGTAATAGACAATAGTAGTAGTTTTTATATTTTTATAGCTTTATGTAAAATAGTCTTGACTCGTCTACGTATAAAATTTCATTGTTATTGTTCGAGTTTCTATACACTTTTTTTTTAAGAACTTCCCAGTGAAGATTTTTTGATGCATTTTGATTTTGCTACATTTCGTTTAGTTCGTGTCTCGTAAGTAAAGTATATGTTAGTTTAATATAAAAATGCATTGTAAACTTTCTACACTTTTTACGATAATGCGTAACGCTATACATACATATATATACATATATGTATATATACATATATATATATATATATATATATATATGTATGTATGTATGTATAGCGTTTCATGTTAAATATTGCAATTCTCTACTTACAAACGATCCCTTATTTAATTAGTCGAGAATAAAACGTTCATCGAGCCTATGTAAATATAGAGTTTCGTTATCTAATTGGGTCATTGTTATTCACTCCTAAAATGAAAGTATCGTTCATCCATTATGTGAAATTAAATATTCTAAGAAAAACGGCAAGTACCATTACAAAAATAAAATCATAACTTTGGAGACTTTTCGATGATGCGGAAGACGTAACGCTTCCTCCTGGTCTTCTTGTGGTTCCACCTGAGTGAAAAAAAAAAAAATATTACAGACAAATTTTATAAAACAAAATTTTACATATAATGTTTCATTAAATTTTTACCAGAAAATCTAGATCGTGGAGTTGTACTCAATATAGGATTGCGTGGAATCGGTTTCATTGGCGTTGGTGCAGGACTAGGAGAATTTCCATAACATTGTCCTAAAAAAGAAATATCTTATTGTGAGAAATTGAAAACAAAAGGTGGGGGGGGGGAAAGAAGAAAACCAACATTTATCTATAAATAAAATTACCAATTTAATTTATAAAGGCTCAATATAATTTACCTTTTTTATACAATCTCATTCCTTGCTCCTTAGGATCTATATCTCTAATGCAATGATCACCTGCTTCCTTAATATATATCTCTTCGTCGTTAACGATCAAACCAACAAAACATTCCTTCGTACCAGTATCGTTTCTCATTGTGTAGGTGTACATTACACCTTTCTCTTCCCACTGTCCTAAGCACAAATATGTCCGTTCTGAAAGTATGAAAGAATTATTGGAATGTGCATTTGATTTTTTCGTCTTAAATTAATACCAGATTTTTTTTTTTTTTTTTTTTAATATACCTTCATAGAGTTCTTCGGACTCACAGTCATAAACTTTATAGTACATTATCTCTCGAGTGTTGCAATTGCTACTCAACTCTGCACACATGCCCGATAAGTCGGTTATCCTTCCCGTATATTGTCCTGTTATTGGACATGGTGATTCTACTATTCGCTCAATACCTAATCATTAAAAAAAAAAGAAAAAAAGAAAAAAAAAAAAAAAAAAAAAAAAAAAAACTTGTTATCATATTTAACAACATTTGTAATGTATAATAGTTTTCAGTGTAAAATACTTACGCGCTTGAGTCATCCACACTGGTTTGTCGAAGTTCGAATCATCGCACAAATAACTCTGATAAACTGGACTCATTACCATCCCTATATAATTTATTATGCATTTAAAAAAAAAAACATTGTTATCGTTTCAAATGTATATTTATATATATATATATATATATATATCTAAATACGTACCTATCGTGAATTCTAATACGTTTTCACTACGTTGTCTCATCATTAAGCATACGTAAGCTTCGTTCTCGCTAAAAGATAAATGATAATAATTTTAATGGATATTTCATTGTTTCAATTTTATGACTGTTATTAGGAAATGAGAAATCGCGTATTACCAATGATCCTTTGAATAGACTACGTAACGTCCAGTTTCATCGTTTGATTCTACCGTAACGAAAGTGTAACTGTTATATCCGTTGAGATCGGTGAAAGTCATTGTACCATTTACGATCAGGGACTCTTCCCACAAACCCTGTGCCCACTTTGGAAATCTGAAACAAAGGAATTTATTATGACGTAGACTGTACCACCCTTTAAAATTTTATTAACGTTATATTATCGTTTATAGATACTAACGTTGCTACATGGGTTTTCACATAATTTGGTATTGCCTTTTGATTAGCTGTTTTGCTTAGAACGAATGTCTCGTATCCGCTTGTAGAATTATCTAAATTTTGTGTACAACTAGAATCGCTACTGAAAGCCATATATGTTCTTCCTTTTTTGTTATCAACGTGGAACAACTGTAATAACGATTTATCTTAATTTTTATTTTTTTTTTCTTTCTGTCTTTCTTTCTTCTTCGTACATTTTTTATTATATACTTACGCCGCAACGATACTGAGGACGATTTTCTTTAACCGCATCGTTGTCCATCAAGGCTACATACGTTGACCCATAAGGGCCACCGGGCCAGCTACCCAGACAATTGAAGCTGAGCTCTATGTATAAAAAATATTCACTTAAGTTATATCTATCAATCGTATTATTACAAATATATAATGATAAAGGATCGTTGAAATCGAATCTCTTACCGCGTGATTCGAAGGTGCAACGATTGAACTTTAAATGCAAAACCGATCCGTCAGGACAGTTATGAAGATCCGATAAGAAGGAATTGCATTCGGTTGATACCGATGATCCATCGTTAACGCTGTATTTGAAATGATATCCACCTACGATAGGACAGTATTCATTTCTAATCGACGCACCACCAACTTCCTTCGTACCTAAAAATTTATATATAAAAAAAAATATATATATATATATATATATATATATATATATATATATATATATAGAATAGTTCAAATGAATGTCAATTATTCTCGATCGAAGTTGTAAGGAGGTCGATACCGTTTTCATCGGTATGCAGTGTGCGCATACAAAAAAGGAATCGCTATAAGATCAAAAAGATCGTTTTCCCTGAGGGTTATACCGAACGAGTCTGCTTGTAAGCGAAATGACTGGTATATCGAGCAAACACCGGTCCAATTTTCCAGACGACCACCTGCTGATCCTAACGACCTCTTCTGCTTTTTCAGTTGGAACGATCCAAGAGAAAGAGAGAAAAGAGAGAGAGAGAAAGAGAGAGAGAAATCCGGGACAAATAGCGCCGCTACAAATCCATCTATGGGTGCATAATGCCAGGTGGACGTGACCGTATGGAATCTCAGCTCCCATACGAGTTCTCATGATGTCTAGGACGAAAGAAATCGAGAAGAGAAACGAGGAAGAGAATTAGATATCTATATCACATCTCTGTATATATATATATATATATATATATATATATATATATATATATATATAATAAATGAGAAGAATAGGTGCAAGAATAAATCCCAAGGGGTAAGTTTTTTTTCGATCGAACACGTCTCTCTTAGTGCCCAGTCCAGTAAGAACTATCATCCTTTGCTACAATAAAATCAAACTAAACCCTCCGAACAGGAAATAGCTGAAATTCCATACGACGTTTTTCTCGTAAAGGGTCGATCAATGCTTTCTCCATAACCATCATACGTTTTAAGGGGATGGGGTAAGGGTAGAAGAGAGGAGGGTGCTGCTACCTTTTCGTTCGAGGCAAAAAGACGACACTTTTTGAGCTTTTGCGGGATTCCTCGAGACGAGTTATTGGCTTCCTTTTCTTTCTCTTTTGTCCTCTTTTTTTTTTTTTACGTAATTGGAGAAGGTCTCCGTGTTGGATCGTGTCTTCGATGTCATCGATTTGCTGCCTCATTCAAAGGGACCGACGGCTTCCTTTAGATAATACGAATTTCTTGAGTGATTTATTTAATTTTTTTTTTCTCTTCTTTCTTTTTTCAATTTCACAGCGGCGCACGGTTAATCTGAATTTAATGCGTCCATTCAAAATTTAATCTTGATATTCTCTGTGATAATGTTGAGACTAATGTATAATGAATTTATAGATAAGAAAAGATTATATCAGGGTGACAGTTTAAAAGGGGACGTCAATATTGTTGTTGGATGGTATCTGATGAGATTGACGTACAGAAAATGTAGCAAATTTTTCTGTTCCATCTTCTCACTAAACGATTTGATTCACTCAAAGGGAAGAAGATCGCTATGCAACAGGTAGCTCAGGTAAGCATCCTTTCTTTTCGTTCGCTTCTTCAACTTCCTGTCCACGGCGAAGGCACCTTCCATTCATCTCAAGGCTCTTAGCCTTCGTCATGGAGGAACAAGAAGGACATCTCAGTTTCTTGAATCGAGACACTATATCATTTAACAAAAAAGGCTAACGGAGATTCGGTAGTGTCGGACGAAAAAGAAATAATAAAAAAGAAAAAACGAAGAAAAGACAGAAAGAGAGAGAGAGAGAGAGAGAGAGAGAGAAAGAGAAAGAGAGAGAGAAGAATGAAAAAAGTGGAAGGACTTTACGTAAAAACATGAGTTTTAATTAAAGTTCGTGATGTGTCTCGCAAATCGCGTTTCGTTTTGAAAGCTTTTATTTAAAGATCTCGCATATATATGTTTGTCCGTATGCGTGTGTGTGTGTGTATATATATGTGTACGTGTATGTATGGTCATTACTGCTTTTATAGTTCGTACGTAGTCAATCATTATACCTTATGCCACGGTTGTCCTCCGTACTGTCCCACGCGAACGACTCAAGTACATTGAACTTTCTTTTATCTTCTTTCTTAGGGTTATGCAATTTTTATTTATTTCTTTCTTTCTTTCTTTCTTTCTTTTTCTTCTTCCTCTTCTTTTTCTTCTTCTTCTTCTTCTTCTTCTTCTTCTTCTTCTATACATCCTAAAGACTTTTTCATATTTCTTCCCTGTAATTTCATCGATTGTACATCTTTTTTTTCTCTCTGTCTCTCTCTCTCTCTCTCTCTTTCTCTTGTATCTCCTGCTCGAATCTCTTTACATTCGACTGCATCTTCCTGAATTCAAAAGGAAAAAAGAACACTCCATTCCATTCATAGCTCGAATTACTCGAAATTTGATGTTATCGTTTTTATGAAGTTTATCTTAACAAGGATAATCAATTATTTCCACTAATAATGTGGACTACCCTAATTTTATCTTTTGCTAAAACTTTTCAAATTTACGAGATTAAAATCTTGTCTTTTTCTTTTTCTTTTTTTTTTTTTTTTTTTTTCATTTCAAGTCAGACTAACCTGATATTCGTATTTCTTTTAAAATCTTTCTTGTCCTTTGAGTGCCTTTTTTTTTTTATTTCTTCGATACGCATCGGAGAATCACTTGGACACGCAAGTTAGAATCCTCCGTATCATTAATTTTCTATATATAACTCGCATTTTTTTAATACTACGTTATTTTCTCTCGATCATGGACGATTCACGATTCAATCTTTTAATATCAATATATAATAATTATAAATCTGTCGCAAATAAATGATCTAAATAAAACGTTATATAATTGACGATCTGCAAGTCAGGCAAAGTTACAATTTCATTCAATTTTTCTATCAAAAGGAAAAGAAAGGTAAAAAAGATCACTGAAAATACAAGATGAGTTCTTAAAAAGTTTTTAATCGATTTTAAAAAATCAATCGCCCTTTTATGTAATCTTTTAAATTAATTTCTCGTTTAGATATAGTAAGGCTATAAATTTAATTCCGGAGTCATAAAGAAAGAAAAAAAAAATAGTAGTAGTAGTAGTATTCGAGAAAGAGTAGATAATAATCGATTTTTAAAAATCAATTGATTTAAGAACTTTTGACCTATCCTATATTTTTAAAAAGAAGATCTATGATCGACCCCCAACATCGAATCCTTCCATGTCTCTGAAAATTCTAACAAGACCAGACTAGGGCAAAGCTCGTTAAGGTTGTTCGAAATGGATTTACAATGTATGCTTTATTGGTCTGGAGGATGCTGGATAATGGACCTTCTCAGGGGTCTTTGGTAGGAGACGATTAGGACGAGAACTTTTTGGGAGCAGCCACTCCCACGCTAAGGAACGAATACCTGCCAAACGACACCACTGTCGTCGTTCGGTCCTTTCCTCGCTTCAGAGTGCAGTAAAGAAAAAGAAAGTAAGAAAGAAAGAAAGAGAGAAAGAACGAAAGAAAAAAAAAGAGGAAGGAAGAAAAAGAAGAAAAAAAGAGGAAAAAAAGAAAGAGAGAGAGAGAGAGCGTGAGAGAGAGAGAGAGAGAGAGGGAGAGAGGCAGTGCAAAACAGGCGACCGAACGGAGAATAAACGAGAATGCGAGTGGTCCTTTGACGGAGAATCTACGTGTTCGTTGTCTTCCGAAAACTCTTCGTTCGTGCTGGACCATGTTCGAACGTCTCGAGTTTATTTAGGAAAAGGAAGAAAGAGAAGAAAAAGAAGAAAAAATAAAAAGAATAAGAAAAGTTTCTGGTCAGTTTGTAATCCACCCCTTTCCTAATGCTTTTATATATGTTCTATCGTTTATCGAAAATTTATATTACCCGTACACAATCATACACCACCATCCTCGTATCTTCGTTTCTTCTTCTTCGTTTCTCTATTCCTTTTTTCCTTGTTATTGTATTCTAACGGAAAATGAAAATAAAAAAAGGAAAGAAAAATAAAAAAAAAATAAATAAATAAAACAAATAAAAATAAATTGAAAAAAGAAAAGGAAAGAAGATTTGTTCGTTCCCTAATGCGAAAGGAAAGAATTCTATATATATATATATATATATATATAGTTAAAAAAAAAATTTTTAAAATAAAAAAAAAGGAAAAAAAAAAAAAGAGATATCGTTAACACTATAACACGTGCTACGAAATGAATAGCATACATGTGTCTAATGTTTATTCATTTTTTTTATAATCAGTTGAATCAATTAAACGAACGGAAATAACGAGCGAACGATAAACATAATATTATCATAGTTGATAATGATCGCGAGAAAAATAAGGAGGGGAGAGGATCGGAACGGGACAGGGGTGAGGGAGAAGGAGAGAGCGAGTTTGAGTCGCCTTCGAAATATTTGTTATCTCTTTCTTTTTTTTTTTCTTTTTTTTTTTGTTTTTTTTTTCCTCTTCTTTTCTTTTCACACGTTTATTCAACAAACGAGATATCGATTTTTTTTTTTTTAGATATCAATTTGATCGAAAAATATTGAAATGAAGATATCCTCTTGGTACGGGAATATTAAATAGCACCTGACAAGTGCAAAAGGTTAAATTCGATTTTCTTGGTTCAACGAACAATTCTATTGTCTCGTCTTGTCAGAATGAATGAGGAACACAACACGGAAGAAGAAGAGGAAGAAGGAGAGGAAAATGATGAAGAAGGAGAAGAAGAAGAAGGAAAAAGGGGGAGGAAGAAGAAAAAAGAAGAAGAAAAAGGGTAGGGCAAACTTGTGGGATTCGATGCACGTGTCAACTTCCGTTGAAGAGAACGCACAGCTCGACAAATCTCAATGGAGGAATGCGAGCGGAATGAATCGTCTCCGTGGCACCGTCGATCCAAGCATCGAAGTCTCTCCCTCTCTCTCTCTCTCTCTCTCTCTATCAATCTATCTCCATTTATATATATATCTATATATATATATATATATCTCTCTCTCTTGCTTTCTCTGCTCCTTTTCGAGCGAATGGATCGTCCAAAGAGAATTTCTACGATCGAGGACACGCATCGAAGCATGAAGATCGAAACTACGGCGACATGCCAAGCAGCAACGGCAAACCCGCCTATCGAGGTGCTGACTGGGCTGCTCGTTGAGCGTGTCGATTCGATAAGAACAGGTGTAAAACTTATTCCAAGTGGTCCTTCTTCTTTTTCTTGTTTCTTTTTTTTTCTCTCTCTCTCTCTCTCTTTTCTCTTCTTTTTCTTCTTCTTCTTTTCTTGCTTTTTTCTTTTCCTTTCTTTTCTTTTCCTTTTTTCCGCATGACGAATCGCACCGGAAACATTCCGCGAATAGATGTAACATAATCGATAGTATTCCTTTTTCTCTTTTCTTTTTTATTTCTTTTTATTTTTCCTCGGGATAGATCATCCTTGCGTAATTTTCTTTTTTTTTCTCTTTTTTTTCTTTTCCTTTTTTTTCTTTTTTTTCTTTTTTTTTCTTTTTTTTTCCTCTCGTTATTTCCACAAAGCAATCTCTTTCGAAATTGTATTTAATAGTTCAATTTATCTATTATTTCGATGAATACATTAAGAATTATAAGTTAATAGCTTATTGTAATAAATTTTACGTGTCATTAATTTAATACTATGTATAATTAATGTTGTATTAAAAATTTTGCTTTGTTAAATATTAAATAATAATATAAAATATCAAGGGATCCTTTGATATCTTCTTAAAATTATTTAATATTAAATATTTCTACAATAAGAAAATACTTTTTTTATCATCAATCGAATGTTATACATTGTCGTTATTATGTCCGATTGGTTAACGTATTGAATTATTAATGATATTAAAAAAAAAAAAGAAAAAGGAAAAAAAACAAATTATAAAATATATTTATAAAAGAAAAATAATTATTAAATAATTATAACTATATTCCGTCTTAATCGTTAATTGATAAGCTCTTTTAATTATTGACACAAATACACAAAAGTTTTAATCGTTCATCGAGAAATCGATTATATAAATCCATGGCTGTTTTAATGTTATTTTAATTGACATGCAAGCATGCATGAAAAATACACAACGATGATAACGATAAACGACGAAGTAAATAAGTACATGCTACATACGAATATGTATATATGTATATATATCTAGATAATATTCCTAATTGTTAAAAGGACACAAGTAACAAAAAGTAACACGCGTGACTCAATGTGCGATTGCGTGAGCGCTAACGACCATGCGTTTATTGCAATGCATAGGAAATCACGTAGAGCGCCATCGGCGTACGTTCATTGTTCAACTACTTCTTCCTCATTAATACTAATTAAAGCTAATTAATCGCGACCGTGAACGACCAAAGACGTCGAATTGGATTTTATTTCTTGCTATCTTTCGATCGAACGTATTTTCTTTTCTTTCTTTTCTCTTTCCTTTTTTTCAGTTTTTTTTTTGTTTTTTTCATACCGATTATCGAAGCATCGTATCTATAATTCGTTGTCATTGATCTCTTTTTTTTTTTTCTTTTTTCGTTTGATCCTTGATTCATAAAGAAAAAAAAAAAGTAAAAAAAAAAAATAGGGACAAAGAAATAGAAAATATTTTGTAACTAGATATAAGTAGGTACTAATTGCAAGTGAGGAAAAAACAATACGCTAATTATAAGTAGTATACTCACGGTAAAGAATGGACGTGGAGTTCAGAGTTTCGCACGATGCGATGGCGGCTGATTCAGAAGTATAACACCTGTTAAGATCTTCCGAGAACACTTCGATAACATTGCGAGATCTTCGCTTTAGCCGAAAACAACGAATACAATCGCCGTCCCCGTACCTGTAGAAAAGAAAGAGATAGATAGATAGTTAAAAAAAAAAAGACATAGA